TTTTTTTTTTTTTTGTCTAATCAAATTTGTTTTTCACAAATTGAAATCTTGATAATTAAAAATTATAATTATATTTATAATTGGAGTTTGTGGTTCCTTAACCTTCCTAATTAGTTCACTTAAAAAGATTAATTGGGTATTTATTTAAGATTTTATGACTATTTAATTAAAAGAATTTATTGAAAGCTTTAAAAAATCCAGTAAATATTTATTTTAGATTCATTGAAAATTTTAAAAATTTTAAAAATTTTTATAATATAGTAAGATTACTAAATGTGTATTTTAGGGATTATACAATTTAAGTTGGATAAAACTTTAATAATTAAGTAAAATTCTGTAGTTAGACTGAAGTTGGATTAAATAATTAGTTAAAAGAATATATTATTATATTTGTAATTGAAGTTGAGAGTAACTTAGCCGAATCATAATTGAAATAATAAGGTTAAATGTAATTGAAATCGGACAAGTATAGAATTATAATTGGAGTTAATTGGATGTAGAATTATAATTGGGGTAATAAAGTTAAATTGTGTTTGGAGTTAAGAGTTATTGGAGTTAATCAGGTATAAAATTATAAATTGAAGTTAATTCCATTCAAGTAGAGGTAATTAGGTCTCGACTTTCTTAGTAAGTTTTTAAAAGATATTTATTGTGTATTGATTTAAGATTTTATGGAGATTTACATAATATTGTAAAAGGTCATTGGAATATTTATTTAGGATTTTGGGAGTATTTATTTAAAATTTTTTTTTAAAAAATTATTAAGATTTATTTAAGTTTTATTGGGGATTTTAAAATGCTTATAATATATTTATTTTAAGATTTATAAAAAATTTTAAAAAATTTTATAGTATATTAAGATTAGAACTTATAGTATCTTGAGTTGTTTTGGGACTTATTTTAGGGACTACAACATGTCCCTCTAAGGGTGGGGTCTCCCATCCCATCCCATTTCCATCGTTGGTGAATAAAAAAATCCCGCAAGTATTTTTAGTGAAGGGTAAAAATACCCTCAATGCTCATCCTTATTGAGAATGAGGAGTCCGTGTACATGAAAAATCCCTAAGAAAATTTATAAAAATTTTTTTTAAACTATTTATAAAAGTATTTTAATTTATTTAATTCTTAAAAATATTCAAAAACATTTTTAAAAAATTAATTATTTCACAACTACTAAAAATAAATACATGCAGTCAAATTTACTATTCCTCTAAGAAAAACAAAAAAAAAAAGTAAACAAGAAAAGTCCATGACGATGACAGGGAACGTGTGGGGTGTGGGGCCCACAATGAATGGACGTTGGCGTACGTTAGGTAAGATGCAGGTGCACGCACTGAATTCGGCAGCAAACTTAAAAACCCCAAAGCCAAAGCTGACTGGCTTTGACTGCTACTTTGTCTTTTTATCTTCACAATGCAAAATTCAGATTTCTCCTTTTACCGAATTCTGCATCCAAACTTTCATATTGCCCACTCTCTACTCTCCAAAATCAAGTCCAACCAAACTTTTGAACAATCCAAAACCGCCAGCCTTGATGTGTGCAACTTTAATTTTCACCACTTAAGGAATTATTTAGATTAATTGTTTAAATATAATTAATAATTAATCATTATTATTTATAATTTAAAATATTAAATAATGTCAAAAACAAATAATTATTTACAAACCTGTGAACTAAATACCTCTAAAACTTATAAAGCAACTTAAAAAGATAAAATTTTAAATTAAAAATTTTAAATTTAATTTCAAAATGGTTATCTACATCAAATCTTCTATAATCTAAATTTTTTTCTATTAATGCTCAATAGTTATAAATCACATTAAAATTTAATTAATTCAAAATCAAATCACATTTAAATTCTATAATAAAAAATTTTCATATTATCTAATTCTCCATTTATAAAATTCATATTTAAAAATTTATTAAAAAAATTTAAATTTCTCTAATTCGAATCAATAAATCATTAGTTGATATATTTACGAAAAAAAAACCTAAAACTAAAAGAAATTAAATTTGAAGGAGACTAGAATTTTGATTTCATTTTCTATTAATTCTGAACAGCTACAGTATAATGACTTTCACAAGATCATGCTTTGATTGAGTGAAAAAAACGGAACAAAATTTATTTTCTTTCTAATGATTTGATCCTAATAATCTTGGGTTTTGTACAACTTCCATGGTGATCTGATTTTTGTGATTTCCTTCTCCTGTTTATTCCAAAACTCGAAATCTTGCTCTTCTCTGTTTCCTTTATGGTCTCCAGCTTCGGTTTCCAGTGGCGGCGAGACCCAACTAGCTGTGTGTAATCCTTGTGCAACTGTGGGGTGTTGCATACCCTATTCTGCAAGGCAGAGCACTCACCCCCTTTCTCTTCCTCTGCTTCAATCAACTGCGATATAAACTCATCGGAGACGCGAATTTTGAGACAACCAGATGGGCTTTTCTGGATATCCAATGGCTGACAAGCGGCGGCTTTCTTCAAGAAAGCATTTCTGGACAGCTTGGCGAAGGAGGAAACGGTGACGAAGGAGAGAACGGACTGGAACACATGTCTGGGGAGAAGGAAGTAGTTGTGGCCGAGCTGAAGCTGGTCATCCTCGGACAGAGCAGGGATCTTCTGACCGATGTAGAGGGAATCGGAACGGCAAACCATGTGCTTGGGGAACTCCTTCATGATCTCGGAAGCGTGGATGGGTCGGTGGTAGATCTTGACGATCCCATCAGACTTGACGAGCTTGATGATCCCAAGAGGTGGTTCCGGCTGGAGGTGCACACAGGAGATGTGGTTGCCCAACAACTGAAAACACCAGGGGATCACCTGTAGACTCAACAGCTTCATACCCATATTAGTTGGCTCATAAGCTTGAAATTTGAACGATGCTTTTTGGAGGCACACAACTCACAACAAGAGCATGTGTTTGTGAAATTGAGATTACGATTTAGGGAACGGAGGATAGAGGGGATACTGGTCTATATAAATGCCAAGAGGGGCAACATCACATGTGGGGATGCCGAAAAGGAATAGTGAAAAATAAAATAAGAAAATATTTGAATTAGTTTATTCACTATATTGGAAGATATTAAAGTCATTTTTAGGGCACTGTACTTTGCATCTGTTTGTGTTTTCTTGTGGAAGTTTGATACTATACCTTTGACTGGATG